AAATAATTCCAAAGAGCGGATTATCTACTATCAGTTGATTAACATTGACTACGTTTACACGACTCGATTTACGTCAAAGTTATAATATCGATGTTATGAAACTGACCAATCACAGTCATTTAATTCTTCAGAGAAATAATTATAATTGGCCAGTTTCATAATTGATGATTTTAACTTCGGTGTAAATCAAGTAAAACGTAGTCATAGTTCGGTAATAAACATTGCTCTTTGCGAATCAGTGCAGTAGCAGCAGCAGCAGCAGCACATTTTCAAGATGTTTCCGAGAGTCTTATGGATTGCCGTGACAATAATCGTGCTATTTTGCGTTCATACTTACGGTGAGATGTCGATGTTGTTCCATTTTCTAAGAAAAAGTGATAATTATAAGATACACGTTTTTCTTTTGAATGTGTATATGAAAAACGTTACTGTATTCAGTGGCTGTAAATTTTATAAAAGTTTATATGTTATACATCTAGAATTCACATAGAAATTGGAGAAATTTATAACTTAAAAAAAAAAACATTTCAAAATTCCTTAAAAATTGAACTATACTATAGTATAATTTTAAACATATAAATAGTGTCCATTATATTATAGTACTTATCATATACGAATAAACCATCATTTATACTTTATTACAAATAAAATTTATACTTTATTAAAAATAAAAAAAATATAGCATTTTTGCACAATTTGTGTTTGAAACTTTTTATATAATACACGAATATAAATTTTAGTAATATATAATTAGTATTTTATTAAATTTATACTTAAAGCAAAATTTTTTATCCGATTATCTAGAATTTTATTAAGTACGTATTATTATAGTTTGCATTTAATAACATTTTCTAAAAATGTTTATGATTTTATATCTTTAATACCTTGATAAAAAAATTGATATGATACTTTTAAGAATTTTTCGCATTTAAAATTTATGAAAATTTTTAAAAAAGTTATCTTAAAAGTTTTCAGATTTTATAAGTATATATTTTCAAAAATTACGGAATAAAAAATCTTAAAAATTTTAGAATATTTCCACATTCATGAATTCTAGAGAAGATGTAAGCTTTCTCAACATTTTTGAAAAGCATTTATGTAAAAAATCTGAAAGATTTTCTAAAAAATTATAATATTATACTTGGATGAGATTTTGAAAAAGTTAGGAATAGAAATTCTGAAAAATTACATTCAGAATTTTCTGAAAATTTTTATTAAGGACTTTATACTGCAATTGTACTAACTTTGATATATTAATAATATCCGAATTTTGTTGTGTGTATATTTGTAGCTCAACTCGTGTCATTAGTTTGCTTAGGCTGTTTGTGCGAAGTTAGCACAGGATGTAATATTACTATTGGTTGTAACAACATGGTATGTGGACCATTTTCAATAACAAAATACTACTGGGAAGATGTTGGCAAACCACCTCCAATGGGCGAATCGAGCAGTGATGACGATGGTTTGTTATTTTTACAAAAACTTGTGGATATTTATTAGAAACAATTTTCATTTATTTATACGTATATTATACATAGCGCTGCTTTTATATATTTCGCGAATGAAATGAAAAAAAATATTATACTTAAAAAAAATAGATATGTAATTATATGTATATGTAATTATATTTAAGTGTTTTTTAGTACTAACATTACTGATTACGTATACATAGAAAGAAATGATATTAATATAACATCATTTTTTCCGCATAGCAGATAATTTAATATGACATTTATTGTTAGCATTAAATTAATAATGGAGGAGAAAATGATATCATGGCCTTCATAGCTATATATGGCACCTTTGCTATATAAACAGCGAAATAATAATTATATTTATAAATAATAATTATTTGTCCACTCGTATTTATCCTTATTAGGCTTACATCATAGCACTATTATACACATTCTTATATCCATTATTTTTCCATTCAATTTCATGCAAAAATAATGGATTTCTTTTTACTACACCTAATATAATTAATGCACAAGTCGGATTTATTATAATGCAGGTTTACTTTCAAGTTTTTAAGATTATTTCAGCATTTAATTTTAGCAGTATACTTCTTCATTTTTCTTAAATTTGAATCACACGAATATATATATTCGGTTATAATTCGTTATTTAACATTTTATTTAGTTGTACACATTTTAGAATTATGCAAAGTTAAACAACAGCATTTTATGTAGTATATGCTAATTGCTGTCTTTCTTTTTCGAAATTTTTATATAAAAATAATTATTTGTTAAATCAATTAATTGTAATTCTACTGTTAATCTGTACGTTACATATAAATATTATATAGATTTTAGTACTGAGTACATATTATATATATTTGCATATTTTCTGCAATCCTTTATTTGTAAATATATAATTTTGTATCGAAAGTACTACTATTTTAAAATCAATTTTTTATGAAAAAGCCACATTATTATCCTCATGTTTTTCTTCAACTCATTATGAAATGCTATCACATTTTTATAAATAATGTCTTAAATAAAAAATATTTTATAACTTTAAATCTAAAATAGATTAAATAACACTTTGCTGAATGTATTTGTTAAATTTTAAATTTAAATATTAATTATTAATAATGAAGAGCCATAATATCATCTTTCTCTTTATATCAACTCATAGTTCGTATGCTAATTTTATTTATTTTAGTGATTAATAAATATAAATTTTATAATTATGATAATAAATGTGTGTATCATAATCAATTCTTTTTAGCTTTTCACAAATGTGTTAATGATTTGTACTGTGCTGGTTATACGGTACAGGCCTATATGGCTAAACACAGTAAGGTAAAATCAATATTCAGATTTCGATGTATTACATATTATATGAATCTTTGCATAACTCTAATGTTAGCGCAATTAAAGGACTGTAACGGAGATGAAGTAATCGATTGTGATGATTATGTACGTCTTCATCGACTTGGTTCAGCCGGCTGCAACAACTCGCTAAGCAGTGATTACGAGAACAAATACAAATTATGTTTACAAACCTTTGAACGTAAATAATAGATATATCTTTTATTATTTTTTATGTTAATACAAATCAACATAAGATGTGTTTATACTAAGTTGTTTCTGGAATCATTGCTATGACGTTCGAACAAATAGACGAGTGTTGTCATGGACAGAGATTACATAATAAAAAAAGACGATATATATAAACATATTTTATATTTAATCTATATTAATCTATTTTTATACAAAAAAAGAGTATTAGGGAGATCTTACTTATATAACATTTATATTATAATAAAACTGCAAAAGTTTAATATTAATTAATTTTAAGAGAGATCAAAAAAGAAAAATTTTTATACTTTGATTTTAAAATCGTTTTATACAAAATTTGTATAAAATCACTGCATTAGAGAAGAAAATAAAATAACATTCTATCAATTTAAATGTATGTAATATCTTATTTTTAATATCTTTTAAGCCTCAAAAATAGAATTTTAATGTGGACTTTTAATTAAAAATAATATTTCATAAAAATAAATAAGACAATTTTTTAAGATTTCTTTTTAAGATTTAGATTTAGTATCTTTGTTAATGATGTATGAGGAGGTACCCAATTACAACTTCTTTTTTTCTTTTATATAATACAACGATGAAATTTTTCAGTCATAACCGTTTCAAATGATTTTTCCTTTCCCCACTCATCCTGAATCATCATATCTATATTTTACTTCTCGTCTTCATCACGCGGTATAAAAAAAAGTAATCATTGAGAAGTGCGGAACTCACACAGTAGTAACATTGTTTGTCGCGGATCAACATCAATATATCTCTAAGATGTTTGTGAAAGTTTCGTGGATTGCTATTACAATAATTGTGCTGTTTTGCGTATATACTTTTGGTGAGTTATCGGTTTTTTTTTTAACGAAAAAGTATAAGAGTTGTATATATAACACACAAATTTTCTTCAAATGTATGAAAATTATATATACTATTATAAGTCCATTATAATAAGTTAACGTATAGTACATTACTTGTTATAGAAATCAAATAATTTTTATTAAAAAAATTAAAAATCAATAATTATATTAGATTTTTTTACAAATCAATTAACTATTATCTCAATTCAAGGCTAATATGAATTTAAAGTTCGTGAATATGACTTAATAATAAACGATAATGACTAAATAATAACGATAATTATCTTTTTTTTCTGTAAATATTTCTAATGATTTCTTTATGCACACAAAAGATTCTCCAATTAATATTTTTTAACTAATTTTGAAATTTATAAATATTCTTTTTTAAAATCGAGACATAAGATAATTTTAAGATATCTTTTAGACATATTTAAGACATCTTTAAGATAATTCTTGTAAAAATGTTTTAAAAATATTTTATACCTCGATTTTTGTGTTATACAGAATAAGTGCATATATTGCGTATTTTAATTGTACGAATATTTCCAAGTAAAACACGATATTTCAAAATGTATAAATATTTCCAAGTAAAACGATTCGGGAAATACATTTCATTCAATGATATTGAGAAATTCTCAATATATAAAATTTTAATAATTTATCTATTTTAAATAATTTTTATTATCGAGATAACAAAATAGAGATAATATCTGAATAAAGTAATATTATAAATCAAAGAAATATTTTCGCCAATATTCATAAATATCTCTAAACAAGTAATAATTTAGTTTTACAATAAACTGGTTTGAGTTATATTTTTAACTGTGATTTTATAAAACCAATCATGTCTATGCAGATATATTTGTGAGTAGATATACGTCAAAACATTAAAATATAATTTATGGAAAAAACATTTAATTGATAAAACAATTTTAGTTGATAGAAAATTTGTAAAAGGTAACATGAAGGTGTGTTCTGAATCACTCTACGCAAATAATGAGGAATATAATAATTATTATGTTATTCGTTACAGCTCAAGAGATATCGCAAAAATGCATAGGCTGTATATGCGAAGCTGCTTCAGGATGTAATATCACTGTAGGCTGTGATGGACTGGTATGTGGACCTTTTTATATAACAAAACAATATTGGATTGATGCTGGCAGACCATATATAAACGGAAGACAAAGCGACAACGATAATGAAGATAGTGAGTTGCCTTTTTTCATACAAAAAAAATTATACATTAAAAGTTTAAATGTTAAAAATAAATTTCATTTTCTATTTTTTATACGTATTATAGCTGCGTTCTTATTTATGTATTTATAATACCATATTTTAAAAAGAAACCGAAAAAATTATGTATTTTTTTTAAACAAATATAAAAAAGTTTAACTAAAAATAAATTAACAAAATAAAATAATACTACATACCTGTGTAGGATATGCACGTCTTCGAATTACTAATTAATTATAGAAGCAAAAATAGGCTAGATATTTTTCCAAGAATATTTATATATAATTGTGAAAAAAGAATATATAAAATATTGTTTTTATGAATATTCTAGATTATAATTCGAAAAGATATACCTATGATTCTCTTCTTCAATCATTAACTGTGTGAAAAAAATCAATTTTGAGAACTCTGAGTATATGAAATTAAATATATACTCTTATATATACTCTTATAGTTTATATTCTGATATTATTTAATATAACTAACAATATAAATTTTATAATTAACGTAATATTTAAAAAATATATAATTTAAAAATTTTTTTCCTTTAGCTTTTAGGAGCTGTGCTAAAGATGCATATTGCGCTGCTCATACAGTAGAAAACTATATGGCCAAATTTAGTCGGGTAAGATCATATTTAAATTTTAACTTATACATATATATACTGATGTAAATTATCTCATGTGCATTAATTAAACAGGATTGCACTGGAAATGGAATAATTAACTGTGATGATTACGTACGTATTCATCGATTTGGCGCAAGTGGCTGCACTAATACATTACACAGTGTTTACGAGAATATATATAAATTGTGTATACAAACTGTAGGAGAATATTGAAACAAATAATATACAGGGTGTTCCATTTTAAATGATCGAACCCAATATCTCGAAAACTAAATTCAGTAGAAAAACATTTCAGACAAAAATTATTTGGCTCGAAGGGGAACATAAGATGGTATCATTGATTTGATCTTGGATAGTCCTCTGAAGGTCGTGAAGATTGCCTTCAATTTTTTAAATGGAACCCCTCTATTTCTCATTTCATATTCTTATAGTTCATCTCGAGAGCTTTCCAAAACATTATAATAAAATATTTTTTTCAGTAAGTATTTTTCGAGTTACGAAGCTCAAAAGTTACAGTATATCATCGACTTAGATAACATTTGTCAAGATCAAGGCCATTGGAAATTGTATCTCTTATTTTCATTTTTACATAAAAATAAATTTTTTGTGCAAAAATGAAAATAAGAATAATCTCCAATGGCCTTGATCTTGACAAATCTAAGTCATGTTCCTAAACAATATTCAAGAGGTTTTAGCCATCATTTTAGCGCCTTGTAATGCCAATGCCGATGGTATACTGTAACTTTGGAACCTCATAACTCGAAAAATACTTAATGAAAAAATATTTTATTATATTTTATTATAGTGTTTTGGAAAGTTCACGTGACCTTCAGAGAACTATCCAAAATCAAATCAATGGTACCATCTTATGTCTCTCTTCGAACCAAACAACTTTTGTCTGAAACATTTTTATCTACTGGGTTTAGTTTTCGAAATATTGGACTGGATCATTTAAAATGGGACACTCTGTATATGTATATATATTATATATTATTATAACGATCTAATAATAATCCATTAATTATCCGTAAAAAGCCTATTGTTTGTATATATCAAATATTTAAAATACAATTATTTAATTTTTGTTTTTTAATACCGTATTTCTCATGTTGATAAAAATAGTTGTTAATAAGAAAATGCAGTAATAAAAAGTCGATAAAAAATTCTGAAAAAATTCTTAAAGATCTATGAAAAGAAAATAAACAATTTTTGTCTCTTGCTGTTTTTCTGTAAGGTTAATAGTATTTGAGTAAAAAAATTATTAAAAACCAAAATTCCGCAATTTTTAATAATTAATATCTCGTTAATCATTGCGTAAATTGCAAAGTGATAGAGGACTTTTGCGACTCAGTTTAATTCGGTCTATCTATACAAAAGCACTTGGCAAAAAATTGCGGGATATCCTATATATTATTATTGAAAAAGTCAACATATTCGATGAGTAAATATTATTATCTAAATATTTTAAATGTTTTTATAAACTTTTATCTTGTTATTATTCTATAAAATATAGAAGAAAAATTAGCTGTATTATATTAGCTATATTAGCTATTCTTATATTATATTATATATAAGTAATAAATCTTGTATTATGTATAAATAATAAAATTAATTTGAATAATGTTAGGTATTTGTATATCGTATTATAAATATGTTTCGAAAGAGAATAAATAACATTTTTTATATTTACATTAAATACCTAGAATTTTATATATAATATAAACATATAAAAAATACATATTCTACGTAAGTAGAACTAATTATTATAAAAATATCCGTTAAAATATAAGTTTTGATTCTCGTGTACTTAAAAGTTTATCTATCAATCCTGACCGTTTCTTTAATAGTTCACTATGTTCTTGCAAATTTTTAGCAGCACATACATTTTTTACAAGAAAATGATTTATAAATAATCTAAGACTTTCCCTAAAAGTTTGCAACTTTGGGGATAAAGATATCTTTCCAAATACTTCTAAACAGGCCTCCTCATTCTCATGTAATAATATTCCCAACATGATTTGCCGTACAAGCCTCATGGTTAACTTGTCTAATTCCATGAATTGAATCACCTTGTTATATGCGATAATAAAATTAATAGTAATAAACATTACATGAACAAAAAATAAGAGAAAAATTGATATAGGCATATACATACCTTTAAAACGGAAAGTGGAAGACCTTTGTCTAAGAATAAAAGAGTCAAGAATTTTGCCAGATTTGTTAACTGTTTTGTATTCAAATCACCCAACGTCTTCAACTTATCCCATAATGCATATTGTATAGTTAACTATAATAATAATTATTAATCATTAGAACATATACATAAAAAAATATACTATTGCGCTTGAAAATCTTTACACTAATTATTTATTCATAAAATCAATACTTCAACATTCTCGCTAATAATAAAAAAACGATATAATTGTATTAGTATCAACATAATATAATAATACCAATTTTACTGAATGTAAAATAATACAATAAAATAATAATTGCAATATATACCTATAGAGCAATACTTTCTAACAGCAATAGCTTTCTATTTTTTAAGTGCTTATTAGAAAAAAAAATCAATTTTCCTTATTGCTAATTGATTTTCTAATGCATTGATTTCCTTATTTCGATTTTAAGCTAATCTTTAAAAAATTTCTTGCAGCATAGATTAAAAACGCAATAATATTTTATATATAGAATTGTATTTATGTACCTGATATTTTCTGTCAGAATCACACAGTCTTTGTGCCAATACAGCATAATAAGGATTGAACTTCTTTTCTTGAATACAACAATTGAGGATAACATAAATGATTTCCCTCTGTTGTTGATTCTTCAAACCAAGATGATGAATTTTTTCAAATGCATCTAAATAATCTTCAGCTGTCATTAGTATGCAAAAGATATCTCTTCTAACATCAGTATTCATTCTCTGTTTTCGTGCCAACTCTAATATGTCCTCACTGTATTTTTGTTTTTTGTCTTCCAAATTCTTTTCTAATTTACCAATATCCTTAAGACCGGACCAGGCTGAGCCTACTATCCACCATTTTCCTCTTTCATCAGCTAAAAAAAGATAGAAATACGTAATCTTATTTTTTAAAATTGTTATTTTTTTAAATTGTATTATATGTATTGTATTTTACATACCTTCTAATAAGTCTTCTAAAGTTACATTAAATTGTGTAACACTATTGCCCTTATGGATAAAACTCTTTAGTATTTTCTTCAAGTGTTCTATCCAAGATGGATCATATTGAGGTATTTTGCTCATGTTATTATTTTTTATTGCCAATAGTACATCCAACATAAATTTGACTCTTGAACTACAAAGATAATAGTATACATAATATACATAAATATATACATAATAATATAAATAATATACATAAATAATATACATAAATAAAAATAATAAATATTAAAAAATATTCCAAAAAATACAGGTTTATACAAAGAACAGTTAGAAAAATAATTTAAAATCAAATGTGCGAGTATCCAGTATAAATATAGTATTTTAAAATATAAAGACTTACTTTTCCAAAGTAGCATTATTTGCTTTTTGTTGCAAATTTAATATAAGTTCTTTCAAAGCAATTGGATCATCTTTCCTTAATTGAAAACCTACTGTCCTTAAAATCAATAAAATCAGTTCAATTTCTTTTTCCGTAAATTTTGCCACTAGTTTTTCTAATATTTGATATAAAAGGCGATGACCATATACCTAGAAAATAGAATCATAAATATATTTTGTAATAATGCAAAAATATTAATAATTTTACCTTGAAATTATACAGATGTGAAATAATAAGAATTATATTATCTAATTCTTTATTCTCAATACAATGAGATTCTTCCAACATGTGATGAAGCTTTTTTACAATAGTCAGTAAAAAATGTGCTCCAACTTCTGTACCAATATTTGCATGTAATATAGCGATTAACATCATATGTTCACAGATAAGTCGATCTGGAGTTAATATTGGTGCAACTATACTTTCCATCATTAGTGTGGATAACAATACATTCATACAATTACGACTGTTTGACATGTACATTTCTTCTACCTATATTAAAAATTAGATAATAAATTCAGATAATGTTTATTAGTCACAAATAATATTCTTTTCAATAAAGATATTCAATTTTTTAAAAATATAACTTTAAATGTAAATTTACTTTATTATTTTTATATATAGAGTATTCTATAAAAAAATCGACAAATATTCTAAAGATTATATTTTAAGAAAATTCATATAATGATGTATAATACATTCTAAAAGTTTTTCTGGAAGTTTATCAATTTCCTTGTGAAACATCTTTATATTTGACTAAATAACATATACATGTTAATTACCTGATTTGCAATGGTATGCATATTTTGTTCTGCCAATCTATTTAAAATACCTTTCATCTGTTTCTTTAACCTACTAATTTTTTCACTATCAGAAGAAATATTATTACTTGCAATACGTACAGCAGGTGGTACATATTTTTTTAATATAATATTGCCTTTTTTGTCTCTTTGTCTTCCATAAATATCTTCCCATAAGTCTTCGTTATCATCTGATATATTATTGTGACTAGATTCTTCATTTACTGTCTCTTCTTCTTCATTTGATGTATACTTTTTAGATTTAATGTTTATTGTATCTATTTCCTCTGAAGAAATTTCTCCATCTGATTGTTCTGATGTATTACTGTGACTGGATTCTTCATTCACTGTCTCCTCTTTTTCATTTGATACATACTTTTTAGATTTAATGTTTATTGTATTTGTTTCTTCTGAAGAAATTTCTCCACTATCAACTTGAATTACATTTTTATTAGATAAAAGACTCTCATTTTCTGAATCTTGTTCAGAATCTTCATTATCATCTACACTGTCTTGCTCATCATGTTTTTCATTTCCATCCTCAATATCATCCTTACCAATAGCCATATTCAAATCCTCTTCAAATTCTTTACTCAATCCAGTGTCTAACAACTGCTTTTCAGTTTCAACAATGTGACTCCTATTTTCTGAATTACAGAAATCCAAAAGATCTAATTAAAAGTTAAGGAACTATAAATGATTTATAACCAAATAATTATGATACACATAAATGTGAAATTATAAATTTAAAATATAAAATCATAATAAAAATATAGTATAAAATATAAAAATATAATTTAACAATTTTTAAGAATAACTCCCATACACATGTTCTTTTTTTATTTCATATAGAATAAACAAGAGCATTAATTTTATGAAAATTTCTAGCAATAAGTAAATTATTAAAAGGATACAATCTAATCCATCTGATACGAAAGACTTTGGAATAGATTTACTCTTTCGTTTATTTAATTTCAGTTGCTTTTCCAACTGTTTAATCGCTTTATCCTCGTCTAAGTTGGCCTGTTTTAATTGTTGTGTCACCCTTTGCTTTTTCACATTCTTTTGCATTCTTTCTTCCTTCGCATCTTTAGGCTTTTGTCGTTTCTGCGTCGATGGTACTTGTTCAGTATTATTTTTCTCTTTTATCTTCATCAATTTATCATTATTAATCTTTGATATTTCCGTTTGTTCCGACTGATTTTTCGATTTTTTCTTTTGATAATACATTGCTCTACTTATTTTCTTTTGTTGTCTTTTTTCTTTACGCAATTGCTTGCGTGTTTTCTGTATTGATTTAGATTTCTTGCTCTTAGTATTTAGTACCCCTTTATGTTGAATACGCCCCATTTCGCGAAGAAATGTTCTTAACTAATGTTTAAAATATTACAATATATATATATTATATAAAATAATGTTTATAATATACCAATAAAAGCAAATGTAATGAAAACACAGACTGACATGAAAACTTAACTCTTATTAACCTCAAATTCCACATTCCACATTGTTCACACGTGTCGAACACATTTTTCATAGTCGATATACTTAAGCAGAGAGCACAGAATCTTGCATAATGCATAAAACATGAGGTATAAGAAAATCAACCAATCAGAGTCCTTTATTTCATGGAAAGGAAGGAAAGAAAGAACTTTAATTGGTACATTTTCTTATGCATTACGTGTTATGAATTATGCAAAAGTCTGTGCTCCTCGACGTGCGTCGTATGGCGTTTTGTAACCAATCAGAAAGCAGAATTTTATTTTGTATCGATGGCCTAATTTCCACTGAGGGTTTAAACCGGGGGATTGATTCTGTATCTGAAACGAGGTAAAAATTAAAAGCTAATTTACTATAATACTAATAATTTCATTGGTCAACATTTAGTAAATTCGCTCTCTTTTGTAATTTTCACCTCGTTTCAAGATACAGAATCGATTCTCAGGGGGTTGATTGTGTATCTCGAAATGAGATGAAAATTACAGAAGTAAACAAAAGTTACTAGGTATTGACCAATTAAATTATCAAAATTCTAGTGAATTTATTTACTTTTGTAATTTTCACTTCATTTCAAGATATACAATCGACCCCTAGAAGGTTAGAATCAACCAATTATAGTCGAGTACAATAAAAGTAATAGGAAACAGAGAACAGAGAATAAGAATTTTAGCCTATCAGAAATTATGTGAAAGGCATAGTTTCTGATAGGTTGAAATTCTTATTCTCAGTTCTCTGTTCCCTGTTTCTTACAGTCGAACGACAGGGGAATGTTCGATTATAGTTAGTTGGTTCTTAAGACTTAAATACAATAGGCACAGGCAACAGGAAATAACGAGCCGTCCAATCAGAGCTCTGGAATGTAAGTTCGATATATCTTAGAGCTCTGATTGGACGGCTCGTTATTCCCTGTTGCTTGTGCCTATTGTATTTAAGCCTTTACATACTAAGTTGTTCGCGTTGCATGCTCCAATATGTTTCAATATGCTTCCATTATAGCTCCTACTCACTCCAATGCGCCTTATTAGAATGAGTAGAAACTATAGAAGGAGCATGTGACGCAAACAAATCTGATTCGGTTTAAACCTTCGAGTGCGTCCATTTTAATTGGCTAATAATTTTTTTTTAAACAGTGGCGCTCCTGAGGAGTTTCGGTGCCCCCTAGGGCTCGAACCCCAAAAATCTACAGATAAGCACGTTACTGCTGACTTTAGTAGAGATGCGCCTTAAGATTTTCAAAATCGTAACGTATCTTACGTTCTTCGACGCTTCGAAAATCGCAATTTATTTGTTCTTCGAAGACATTTCAATTAAGTATGGATGGTTGTGAAATGAAAGTTATTCGATGGGATGCGATAATTTTGTATATTTCGCCACTATTATTGATCGAAGGTAAATCTCACGTAATTACTTTGCGTAGAATGAGTATGAAGGGAATGGCGCCAATGCATGTGTCTAATGTTGATTGGCTCCGCCCAATTATTAGAAGAAGACAGTTTAAGCGTCATAAATAAGGACTGAAATGGCGACTTCCGGCTAATTGGCGCCACTCTCTTTATACTTATTCCAACTTTATGAACTGTCGACAGTCAAACGCCCGTATCACAATTACGTTAAACATCATCGCTGTTAGTTCGTCATCTCGTTGGCTGTTTTAAGAATACTTGTAAGTAATTACAGTACATTTACCTTGATAAATTTGAAATTGCCTTTCATATATCTTGTAGCGAAGTTGTATTCAAGTCTTTCCGTATAGTTCGCAAACGAAAAGAAATCTTGTGCGCATAGAATAACCCACACACAACAGTTCTCCGAGAATATATATTCTGAAGGTCGATTGTATATCTTGAAACAAGATGAAAATTATAAAAATTAGCTGGAATATTTATAATTTCATTGGTCAATAATGAATTTGTCACTTTAGTTATTCATCTTTCAAGATACACAATCGATATATTCTTGGAGGTATCCTTAGGACAGACAAGTCCAACATTAATTCCGAAGTCAAAACGCAAAGCCGTTGAAGCAAAAAAATTTAATATAAGTAAGATTTCGGCGATTGTAAAGTGATACGTGTCACTCAGAGAGAGACGCATAGCAACACTTTGTAACCACCGAAATCTTATCCGTGTTGAATTTTTTTGTCGATGGCTTTACGTTTCTGGAACTAAAATTGGACATATCTAAGTATGTAGGATGTCCTTAGGACATCCTATCACTTGGTGAACTGTATTATGTGGGGAATGTCCCATAAAGTTTTTCGTGAAGTGTGACGGCGCGCGAAATCTATGCCAAATAATCACGTGATTTCTTTGTAGGTACCTGTTGCTTGCTTCTGGACCTGTGAGTCTTTGATCATCCTTTTCACACGTTATTTTCTCATCGAAATCAACGATGGAATAGATTCACAATCATTATCAATCGTTAACAGGTACATATAAATCATTTTATAATTAATTAAGACGTTTATCTGCAGTAAGAACACAGTGTTTCATAAAATGAATTATTACATTCTTGTTGCTTGCCAATGTTAAACAAGAGTGAAGAGTCTGTATTACACTGTATCCTTATTGAACAACACTCTTATAGTTTGTTTATAGATTTGTTTGCGTCGCAAACATGCTCTAGTTCCTACTCATTCTAATGAGCACATTAATAGGAGCTATGATAGGAGCATATTGGAGCATGTTGGAACAAACAAACAAATCTTATATTTTTCGATATGTGAATATCATTTTCCAATTTGGCGATGTTTCACACATGTTAATGTGATGTTTATACCGCAAACAATTGCAGCATAAAAATTATTATATATGTTATAATTCTTAAAGCATGGCTGCTTTTATTATTTAATGATTCTTAAATTGATAAAACAAATATTAAAAATTAATTGTTGATCTTATACATCTTAAAAATCTTTTACTTCAGGCTTTAAAAAAGATTATCTAATCTAATCAATTAATTAATTCAATCAAACTTTGATTAACAATCGATGATTAATTTAATGGATGATTAATATTAGCAAAATAGTACAGATTATTTGATGAATTAAGCAACTAAATTAATCATGGAATCAAAGTTTGATTGAAATTACTAAGAATTATTTTATATCTCTAATAATATACGTCACGATAATGATATATTGATCCAAAAATATTATCAATGTATATATATATAATAATAATTGCTAATATTTACAAAGATTTATTTAAAAAATTTACTATGTGTTAATTTAAGTAAATGTGGGCTAAAAGTTTTGATTAAACAAACAAAATTATAAATATTATTAAAAGATAACAAAAAAAAAAGAATATAATTACGTTCATTATTATTTTTCAATTTTGATTTAGATATTTTCCTAAACGTATATTTAAATAATTTTTATCCCTTTATCTGAAATCTTCGAACTTTTTTTGCAAATAGAAATTATATTCTCGTATTTCATTTTTTATATTCTTTCTAAATTAAAAATTTTATTAAAAATACACAGTCTAAAGAATAAGCAAAATGTTACCATATATTAACAATTTGTTAGCAGATTCAAAAGAATACTGTGACAGATTGACAAACTCATGTTATGTCTTTATTAAGTATTATGCCAGCAGAATTTATATAATACATAATGTGTTTTTAGCCGAAACTGATCAAAGTCATTTTAATCATTCAAATGTAATATATTATTTAAATTTGCATATAAAAGATTTATAATTCTGAATATTACTTGATGCATATCGGTATTTATATATATTGCCTTCCTAGAAATAGGTATAAATATATGTATAGGTATAAATATATGCCAATATATGTCAAGTCGATACCTAGAATTATCTTGGGCAGGACTAATTTAAATAATTATAAAATGATTCTGCTCAGTTTCTGCCACCATATTAAATAAACAAATTTCGTTATATTGCTGTCTATGAACAAAACAATTTGTAACAGACTTTGGCAAAATCTTTTTGATAGATTTCGATAAATTGCTAATTGGAATTTAATGATAGATTTCGATAAATTGCTAATTGGAATTTAATGGATGATAAATATTGAAGGATACTAAAAAATAGAAAGTGTTTCTGGAAAAATGGAAAGGATGGTTCTGGAAAAAGTGTTTTATTAGTTTTAAGAAAGTAATCATTTATTGCAGTTCTACCGCATCATAATTTGCTCTTTTTATTTTTCTTTTCTTCGTAAATGTATACATATTTCTTGGTAGATCGTTCCTTTGACGTATACAAATCTTAGAATCGTTGAAGTTGTCAAAACGGCCTCTTTTTTATTAAGCTTTTCGTCATGTATATAATTCATGTTGTTCCATATTTGCTTTAATTGTTCCAACGGACAGTCTTAATTTCGCAATTCTATCTGTGCGATGGATTACAACATTATTTATTACGCTGATATTCTCTCCAAAGTGGCTTGTATCGCATATGTCCCAACTGTTTAACGGGCAGTTTTGCGATTGCTATTGCAATAAAATGAAACACACATACTCTTCTCTTCCAATAATATTTCACCTCGCGCTTGCTCTAACTATTTCAACGTCTTTCCTGTTGAAAGCAAATGAATTATAAAGAACTGACGATCCTTAAACTACACTCATCTGCAAAAAAAGGCTCATCATTTAGTACAATTTTTTAACATCTTTTAGTAAGCTAGCTCAACAAACATTGCATTGAACTATTATTTATCTCAATATGATGATTTTTTGTTGAATTATCGCTTATTGAAAGATGTTAAGAAATTATGCTAAATTTTGGTCCATTTTTTTGCGAGTGAATGTAACTTCGGAAACTGAAAATTCGATATAGAATGAATCTCCTCGAGATTCATCCATCTTTTATAGGATGATGTTATGATATCGATCGATATATTCCGATATATTCCGCATAAACTTTGTTCTTCCGAGATGAGCGCGAATTTCGCGTACGCGCAAATCTCGAGAAATCATCTCTTCTGGTCAGCTCATTTATATACATGTTACATCTACGCGATAACTCGTTTATAAAGTAACAAGAGACATATGTCATGAATTTTCTTCAGATTTCTACGAGACTTACAATTAGTCTCAATTGTCTTAAAAATAACTGCGAGAATAATTCTAAGCAAGTCTTTGTCTCTCTCTTATTAAAGTAAAGGGAAAAAGAAGAATATTCGCGCGTCGCATGGTTTCTTCGCTTTTTTTTTCCGGTGTGATCGGAAGTGTTGCTCGATCAGAACGATTATTAACTGTTTAGGGTGGAAGCATAGAATTTTGTATAACGCATATTTAGATAATGTATAATATATAAAGTATGAAAAAATGAACCAATCAAAATCCTTCATTTTGTTCCTTTTCACGAAATAAAAGATTCTAAACAAAAGATTGATTGATTTTCTTATACTTTGTACGTTATACGTTATATCAAAATCTGTGCTTCTGTCTTTAGGATCTATCCAGAACAAATAAATTTGTCTAGTTGCATAAACATATACATAAAGGAAAAATATCCAATCGTATTTCTATTGTAAAGACGCATTTTACATGCGTCTTTACAATAGAAATACGATGAGATATTGTGTAAATGCGATTGGATGTTTTTTATGCATACATTTATGCTATGTAAATTTGCCTGGATAGACTCTTAAGAACGAAGCACAGATTTTTGCATAATGCATAAGAGAATCAATTAGATTTTTTTTTAATGAGATGAAAGATTCTGATTGGTTGATTCTTTGCTGTATGTATTATGCAAAGCTCTGCTGTATTATGCAAAACTCTGTGCTTCGCTGTGCCTTTACTCTTCTTGGCAGAAATTAATGTAAGCGTACTCGATTAACGATCAGTCTCACGTTACGGGAGAGATCTTTGAAAAGAAACCGAATTTCCGACGAGAGGCTAATTTTCTCAAGTGCTCTATATGCTACATGATTCTCGATTTTGTCTGTGGACACACTACGACTCTCTGCACGTGGTATTTTATAATCGTTAGCGTATTTTACGATCACATCGATAAATGTCGTTTCTCAAAGAGCAGTTATTTACATAGTTAAGGCGCTAGCCGCTTCTTATTCGGATAATCGATTCGTAAATACTATTTGTTATAACGCACAATTACGTTCAGAACAGAGAAAGGAGCACACATAATCCTTCTTTCTATCTTCTCAAGTTTTCGTTTTTTTTTTTTTTTTTTCACGATGTCCTTAATACTATATTTCTAATAAAGTTGGCACTATTCGAAAAGTGGAAAGCCGGTTTGAATTGCATGGAGTGAGATCGAATCGCAGCACTTTCGTGTATTTCAAACCAAAAGGAATTTGAGAATCAATTTTTGATTGTGTGCCAAAATTATTCAATTTCATTTCGAATAAATACCTATGATTAGCTTCGAATTAATTGACCTATTTCTTACGGGGATAACGTGTAACGCTGCGACCGTTGCAGTGTTTTTATTAAAATCTTTTAAAACACAATACTCAATTACGCGAATATAATCTGTCATTCCTATACATAGAGTAGCTTGTTAATAAAGATCGCACTAGTGAAGCGGAGGTACTCGTATGGAAGTTGGCGTTCACCCTGTATATCTGTAATTGGTCGTCGCGAAAGCAATGGATCGGTCAATCAGACTTTTTTTTTATCGTAATTACGTTTCGTACGTTTCGCACGGTAAGACAGTGTAATTGTAATTCGGTGATAGAAAGAATAAATGCTATCAAAAAACGTACAATTAATCATCGAATGCTTCCGTTACTTATTGATTGCTTAATTGTGTATATCGTCGTTAGGATTTGGTGTTTTTTTTCTCTCGAAATTCGACGTTATACAATATCATACGTGGCACATACAGGGTTATATACGAAGGCCATATTTTGTGTATAATAACGGCAGTATTTGGCGCAACGCAGATCAATTATCGAGACGCCTCTTCGACACAAATGGACCTAAAAATCTCTTTTTCCACCACTCATCCATCTCCATTCAAAATTGAATTGTCCTTCACATTAAAATTTCCCTCAACGGATGGTTTTGAGAATAAGATTTGTTGTCTCTTTCTAAATAATGTTAAATCGTCCGGCGAAGATACCAAGTCGAACCAGCGAATCTCGATCATACATGTATAGTGAATTCTTGTCTTTCTTGCTCCTTTCTTTGCTGATATCTGCAACAAATGATTACGTTTATGTTCTTAAAAATATTTAAATCAATTCTCTCTTTTTTTTAATTATTAATTTTTAAATATCTCGTATTTCGAAAACAATTATATATAATAATTTTCTGAAAATACTTAAAATCAATGATATCTAAAATTTATTTAAAAAATTTCTTTCCTCGTCTTGAATATTTGATATTCAACTACCTCGATAATTAAAAGTTTTATTAAATTATATTTATCTTGGTATTATTATTATTATATGTGAAAAAGAAACATATTATTTATACACATTATATGAAAACATCAATATCCAAACAATCATATATTCTTCCTCAGATTCTATTGTGTAGTATAGTAGTCGCCAAGATAATCTATAGATATACAAATAAATAAATTTCCGAAGATTAGACCGATCTCAGCTATTTAGTACTGGTTGGGCATGCTTGTTTACGGATACTCATGCCGATACCTAGCGAGCATAGATTCGACGGCCTCAATCGGAAGTCTGCCCAAACTGCCGCCATGACGAGTTCCGGCTGATAAACCTTGCCATTCGCGATCGCGTTCGCGATCACGATCACGGTCGCACTCCACGTCGCTCAATTCGCGACTGTCACTGAACCCGCTTGGCGGCAATAGCGTCATATCCTCTACCGAACTGTCAAACAAATCAGCGGATACATTTATCGAGTCAAAAGAAAAATTTTTCTTTAAAGCTTGTGACACCGTTGTCTGAATTTAAAAAAAAAACTGATGAAACGCAACTCTAATTTAATTCGATTCATAATTAAATCTCTTATTCATAAGGTAATGTTCCATATAATGATGATTAATTTAATCTCATTATCAAAAACATCTTTAATGTTGTCTAAATTAAATAATATTGAATATACAGGGTAATGCATGAAATGTCATATCATTTTATTATCTTTAAAATCATACTTCTAGAGTATTGATTTTTTTAATTACATTAGCAAATTCTATATTTCGTGGAAATTCTGTTAAGTGGAATTACAAGTTGGACTTGAACGGAGGTGAAGGCGTATACCAGTTTATGAAATGCACACAACTACACGTGGATAGAAACGTCTCCGGGTTTCTATCTCATTCTTTGTTCCCATGAAAAACAACACAACTTTCACTTTCTGCTCGCATTTTAAATCAACTGCTATTTCACAAACTGATGTGTGTGCTTTTACCTCCGCCAAATTCTAATTTGTGATATTACATCTAACAGAATTTCCTTGAAGTACAGAATTTCACACAGTATAAAAAATCGATATTCCACCGGTTTAGTTTAATGAAATAATTAAATAATATAACATTTCATACGTCACGCTGTATGTAAATATATATATATACGTAAATATGGGGAAAAAAGATTGTACACATACATACATACATACATACATACATACATTTTTTATACGTATAAGGATAACTTGTCAGCATGTGAAGACTCAATTATGTTTTAGAAAATACTTTTATCTTCTTTTATATAAAAGCAAGTATAGAATTCTCATCCTTTATCGTATAAAATATGAGGTTCTAGAATGAAGCGTAATAACGTGAAAAATCAATACATCATACATATATATATTATATATATCACATTACATATAAAATATATGCATTTTTGAAGTATATGTCACTTTTAATAATATCCATAAAATAAATATAAATATTTATCACTCGTAAAAAATTTCTGATTAATAAATGATTCGCGTCATTGCGCTTCTTTTTCGCATCGATGAAAATGATGAGAGGCTGATATCGAATAGTCAAGACTGAGTGCTATGTGGAAACAAACAAACCTTGGCTACCTGCGAGTAGACCGGCTCGGCTGTCGGCTTCGTCGTCTCGCGAGTGAGGGCGAGCCTTCGTTGTTAGATTCCGTACTCGATTCGACACCTCGCGAAAATACATCTGTAAGGGATCACATTATTGTATGGAGGTTTATTCTCGCACAGTCAGTTTTCTTGATAATTCATTCTCTAGATTTCTTTTTATATCGATAATCAATATACACAATTGTAAAAGTAGAAATACATAATTGTACCTCTACAAGGCTTTACTGGCACTCTATAACTAGGCCCGGCGCATTCGCCGCAAGGGCTTCCGGATGTATCGCTCCCGGAACCTTGTCGACTCGATCGCAGCTTACTCTCGGCTTCCGCGATGCTCGGAAAGTAGCGTTGCTTGTGCCACCTTGGTGTTTTCGACCTGCGCGTCAAAGAACACCAGAAAGAGGAAGAGAAGAGGAGGAAAATGAAAGCGCAAACGGAAAACGGATTGGTTTCACGAAAAGTCAGAAGTTAAGAAGCGACGGAAGAAGCCAGTTACCTTTCGAATTCCACGCTGGATCTCTCGTAATCGATAGTATTGATGTCCTCGTTCTCCAAATGACCAAAAGTCTTGAACTGCATCGTGTAATCGAGCGTTGCAGTTGTGACCGAACGGTTCTCTCTTCCGGGAACACTAAACGTAGCGTACGGACTTATTTCATACATTTCTGTGAAGAATAATAAAGTATTAATAAAGCTGTATTTACGTTATGCCAATAATTCATCAACTTATGAATCGATATTCATACCAGAACCATGATCAGCGGATTTGTGATTTTCTTGTTTCACGGGCGAACTAGTGTAAACCTGATGATTACGTCTGTTGTCTCGTTCAGCCGTCGATTTAAGTTGTACGGTCGACATACAACTGGACAAGTGATGATGCTGTTGCTGATGCTGTTGTTGTGGAACCATTCCTAATCCAGCCTGCTGTTGCTGCTGTTGTCCTGGTAATATCTCACCTAAATAATTCGCTCTGTCGAAAAATAACATAAAAAAGTAATTAATAAGAACTGACGAGTGGTGAGTAGTAAATAAATGAAGTGAAATAGAATTTAAAAAATCGGGAAGTATTACGCTTTACCTGCCGTTACGTTTAAGCATGACATAACCCAGGATAACCGCGGAAACGACTAAAACGATTGCGCAGACGAGTGGTACGATGACATACAAAACTTTGTGATTAGGCACAGTCTTCTTGATATCGTCCTCCATTATTAAATCGTTAGGTGGACCGATACTGACTCCGCTTAATGTGGTCGTGGCAAATTCCATTTGAGCCTGAGTCGAGCCGGCGTCGTTGTGAGCCGTTAAACGTAAACTGTACCACGATGCCGTTTTTAAATCACGAATCACAACGTTATCAGTCGCTCTGCTGGCCACCAAAATCCACGGTTCTGTATTGATTCGCCTCCGATATTCGACGGTGTAATATTGAATGGGACATCCTCCATTAGGCCAAGATAATAAATTTAATTTCACCGATGTGCCATTTGCCGAAATAATATCTCTTTCTTTAGGCAATAGGGGCTCTGGAAAATAAATTAGAGGAAGTTTAATAGCCGTCATTAACAAAAAAATTTATATTAACCTTTCGATTCCTACGTTAATTTTCCTGCAAATATAAATTCCCAAGTGGAGAGACCTCAAAAATGTTCTGTATAATAGCAAGTCTATGATGTTAACAATTATATTAAAGTATAATAAATAGACATATTGGTATAGTATAATACAATGTCATTTATCTTTTATAAAATTTTCAAAAGTCTAAAAAAAATATCAAAATCTCCTAACAGAATTATTGAGAAAAGGCAAGCAGTTCACCGCTTGAGAGTCGAAAGGTTAATTGACACCTGAACTCAATTCTAAGCAATCGTACACATAGCTAATTTTAATTGATCATGAAATATTTTATTTACCAGTGCCCTTCGTTGTTGCACTGATTAGTGGACTTGGATCACCAGTATCAACACGATTATGTGCTGTTAAGTGCGCTAAGTAGGAAGATCCACATTTTAATCCAGATAGCACGAATTCTGTTTGTTCAGGAGATAAGGCGATTTCTTCCCATCCGCCCTGATCCCTCTTGTAGCTTAACACATATCCTGGAAAAAAAATAGTTTACTAACAGCTACATATGTAATATACAATATTATTAATTTGCTTTCTCAATACCTTGTATCGTAGCGCCGCCATTGTCAGGATGATTCCAACGGAATCTGATACTGTTTGTTGTTGTATATTGCAATTCTAATGACGGTGCTCTGGGTGGCATTACTACGACTAATGAATATGTGATAGAATCGTCACCGAATAAATTACTAGCCGAACAAGTGTAATTTCCTGCGACCGATTGCTCCAATCCTGAAAGATGATCGAAAATATTAGGCGTAGTAAAAAGAAATCCATTATTTTTCCATTCAATTTCATGCAAAAATAATGGATTTCTTTTTATCTAATATATCATGATAATAATTTATAGATATTAATTTTGATAATTATAGATAATTTATAGATGTTAATTTTGCATTAAAGTGTTTAGATTCGATATTGTGATTCTGTAAGTAGCGAGAAATAAATTAAAATACGTGAAATACTTACCGCGTATATTAAGGTGTCCATCGGATGTAAGCTCATAGTGCCTGCCGGTGCTGATTTGACTGTTTCTGTATGTCCAAATTGGTCGTGGCGTAGGATTTCCGACCACTAAACACGACAGCGTGACCGATGATTTTACAGCTCTTCTTAATACTTGCGAGAACGACGCCACTCTAGCGGGAGCTACAGAATGAATTTAAAATTTAAGATATTAGTAATAATTAAAAAGGTCTAAATTCTAAAATCTTGGGATTTTCGGATATATGATTCGCAAGTACCTCTAGTATTCGTTGTTTGCGTAACTATAGTGGTTCGTTCTCCTTCTCCAAGACCGGTTGTTGCTGACACCCAGAACTCGTATAATTGCCTAAGAATTTAGAAATCGGTTCATAAAATGTATTGTAAAAAAATTGCAATTATTGTAATACCTTTCCACTAGATCTCGTAATTCCATCGTAAGAGTATCTGTGGGCGATGACGGCGGTTCGTGCATCGTGTGCGTGTTATGATTTTTAGAGCCAGTTTCTCTGCTATATACAGTGTATTTTGAGACATTTCCATTAGGTTGCAACGGCGGCAACCAGGAAACCAATATGCTTTCCGCTGTTAATGCTAATGCTTTAATACCAGCGGGTGGGCCTGGGACTATAAAAAAGATAATAGATTGTTTATTTTACAATCTGATATATAGTTACAATCGATATATAGTTTTTTTATCTGTTAAAATTGAATTAAACATCTCACCATCTTCTTCCGTCATGCAGAAGATTGGTGGACTCAATGCTCCATCACCCGCGCCTGTATAAGCCAATACTTTGATGGAATAATTTGTGTACTTATATAACGTGTGCAAATAAGTATCCATGCTGGAAGTTCTTTTAACTTCACCAACCGTTGATATATCCACTGCGATAAAAAATTAATTAATATCTAGTAATGTATTATAAAGTGTAAAAATCTTATAAGATTAATTTTTTGCGAACATTTATTTTCATCTGTGTTCTGAAAGCGAGTTACTCACTGTTATCAGTAGGTACCGGCCTATAATAGACTTTGTATCCTTGAATAATTCCGCCATGCTGATGAGGTGGAGGCGCACTCCAAGATACTTTGACGCTTTGAGAAGACAATGGGACGCATGTTACTTGAGTCGGTGGTGTTTCCGGTACTACGAATGCGAATAGAAATCGAAATATTTATATATAT